ACCCGCTTCCGCATCCTGCCTGGTCTTGCTGGAGATCCGGGGCTTGCACAGCTCCCGTGTTGGTGGCGAAGCGCAGCGTGGCGTGTGTTTGCAAGGCTAGAGGGGGGAGGGACAAAAGCAGCCTGAATTGGAAACAGCTCTTTGTGGCCGTGTGCTGCCGAGCTGAGAAACTGCCTGCGCTCCGAGCCGTCGGAGACCCACCGTAGTCGGGATCTGCGGCCCTGCGCTAGGCTGCAGCGCTCTGCCTGTGGCCCCTGGGTGGGTGGAAAGGGCCCCAAGTGTCCCAGGGTCCTGGAGAGCCTGTGTATGCCAGGTTGATGCCCTGCTGCTGCGAGAATTGACATGCTTCGCCGCCCCCATCACCTCTCTGGAGCGTGCGTGGGACCCGGTTACATGGAATAACTGGAAAATGGGGGGCTGCTTCTTCGCGTGGGTTTGTAGGAGAGGCCGGAGTCAGGCTTGGGGCTTCCGCTGCTTCTCTTGCCTCCTTGGGGTGCCTGGCTCTTTGCTCTGCTGGAGCCGCAGGCGCAGCAGAGCTCTGTGGAGTGCCTGGGCCCGGGAACGGTCACGCGCCACGAGCCTTGCGCCGAGATGACTCGCGCCGCAACCACAGAAGGGGGTGAGCGGGGAGATGAGGAGCTCAGTCCAGGCATTGCAGTCGCAGTGGTCTCTTGCGTGCTGGCTATGATGCCCCCTCCTCCCTACGGACAAGGTGCTGCGCTGGGTGTGCGGGCTGCGTTATGAGCCGCCCTGCGGGTGAGCGGCCGTGTCTCTGATGCTTCTGAGCATGCATCCTGGGCTGCTCCGAGCAGCCAGCGTTCTGGTCACAGAGGCTGCACCAAGGCCCTCAGGGTCAGGCCAGCTCAGGAGGAAGTGTTTGCCCCTTGCCCTGGGCACATGCCTGCCCAGGGGGGGCTGGTGCAGGCAGAGGAAAGGGGGGGGGTGTGAAGGCAGATTCGGAAGCCCAGGTGGAAAGCTGATGCCAGGACCAGCGTGGCTGCCAGTGAGGACTGAATTCCTGTGCTCCTTGCAGTGGTCTCACCTCCTTCTTCCACAGGACGCAGTGACAGGCCTGCTTCCTGCCAGTGAGGATCACAAAGATGCCTGGGTCCGGGATAATGTCTACAGCATCCTGGCCGTGTGGGGCCTGGGCCTGGCATACCGCAAGAACGCTGACCGGGACGAGGACAAAGCAAAGGCCTATGAGCTAGAGCAGGTAGGAGGAACCTTGTGGGAGAAAGGACTCGTCCTGGGGAGCTAGTTGTGACCTCCTGACTGATTTGCTCTTTGCATAGCCCAGCTCTCGGATTGAAAGACCATGGCAAGCTGTACAGTGGAGACATGGGGACAGAGCTGCCCCCAGGTCCTGGGGAAGCCCTAGCTACAGTGGCAGTAGGAGTCTGCTCTTCACAGATCATTCTGGAGCTAGAGCTGAAATCCAAGCAGAGATTCAGCTCTGTCTCTGGGGTGATCTGAGGACTCAGCCCCAACTCCCAAAGGCTGAGGAGCTAGGTCCTGCAGGCTTGCCTTCCCTCTCCCAGCACAGCAGCTTAGCCTTGCTGACAGGCCCTAAAAGCTGTTTTTTCCTCTGCCACTTGCCTAGAGAGCAAGGACTACGGAAATGTGAGCAGGGGCTCTGGTTACAAACACTGGAGTCCTGCAAAGGTCAGAGACCAGCTGGTCGTGAGTCAGGGTTTCTCCTCCGTGAACAGGAGTTAACAAGGCTGTTTTCCTTGTTCTTGCAGAGTGTGGTGAAGCTGATGCGGGGACTGCTCCAATGCATGATGAGACAGGTAGGGACTAGAGATCACCTCCGGAAGTCAAGCGGTCTCCTTGGAGCCCAGCTGAGATCTGTCACCAGGATAGTGAGACCCAGCCATGCTGGGTCTCTCCAACCCTCCCCGATGAGTGGAGGGATGACCCCTTCCAGGAAGTCTTAAAATAAGCCGACTTGGCATCTGTCCTGCTGCTGAACTCTCTTCCTGGTATGACGGGAGTCCTAGTGCTGTGGGCTGGTGCCCAGTAGAGCCTTTGCCAGCTGCTCCCTCTCTTGTGGCCTGGCAGGCCCTGAGGCTGCGTAGCTCCTCTCCCTTAGGGAATTTGGGGCTACCCTTTTCTCTCTGCATGGGGCAAAAGCAAACGTGTTTTCTCCATGGCTGCAGCCTTGCAGTGCCCTGTGCTGAGGGTGGCTCGTGAGCCGCGACCTGCTGCCTCAGTGCTTCCAGGGGCTCAGACCTGTGGCTCTGGCAGAGAAGCTGTGGGATTCCTACTTCACCAGCCGTGGCTCCATGTACTGGCGCTCACGGCATGGGACAGCCCCCAGCTCTGGAATTGCAGGACCTCCTTGGAGCCTGGGTTTGACTAACCCCTGCATCTCTTTGCCCTCCTCCAGGTGGACAAGGTGGAGGCATTCAAGTACAGCCAGAGCACCAGGGACTGCTTGCATGCCAAGTACAACACCCGCACCTGTGCCACTGTGGTGGGAGACCATGAGTGGGGTCACCTACAGATGGATGCCACTTCCCTCTACCTGCTCATGTTGGCGCAGATGACAGCCTCAGGTGATGCTGTTGGAGGGACGCCATTTCAAACCGTGTGTCTCAGAGGGGAAAGGCTTTCTGCTGCCTATGTGAAGCAGCCCAAACAACCCCAGGGCAGCTGCCATTTGAGCAGGCCCCTCCGTGGAGGAGGGAGGAAGGCGCGAGTGTGTTGATCTCCAGGGTTCTCCAGGTTCTCAGCTTGTCTGTATGAAGCCTTCTTGGTCTCTGGGCTGCTGGAGTCAACACCCCAACCTTACTGTTGTCTTACGCTCAAGACTTCCGAGGCAGATTGGGGTCTTTCAGTGCCCAGCTCCCTAAAAGACCCTCCCTGGGGCTGGGGCTCCGTTTCTCTGAAACTGCAGAGCTGCTGCACGGGGGTGGGAGTGCTGGGGAAAGGGGCCTGCCAAGACAAGGTTGCCGCAGAGCAGGTATGCAATGAGGAGAGGAATCAAGTCTGGGTTACTGCAGGCCCTTCCTAGCAGCTTGTAGGCTTAAAGGGACTAAAGTGAATTCTTCCCCCTGCTTCAGGCCTTCACATAATTCACAGCATGGATGAGGTCAACTTCATCCAGAACCTTGTGTTCTACATTGAAGCAGCCTACAAAACTGCGGTGAGTAGTCTCATGGGCCAGCAGGCCTTGGCTGGGGAAAGGGATTATGCCTGGCTTCCCTGGGCGGGTGGAGATAGCCAGCTGGTGCCTGGAGAAGCTTACGAGTCTCCCATGAGCTGAATGCAAAGTCCTACCACACCTGCTGGAAGCACCATGAATGGGTGCTGTCAGCTACATGAGCAGGCAAGGGGTCGAGGAAAGCTCTTGAGTGTGCTGTGCATCGCACCAGCATGCGGGGAGCTGGGTTCTCTGGGGCCAAGCCTCTGAGATTCAAAGACTTCCCACGAGCGCTATGAACCGCTGCCTGCCCCAACGTGCTGCTGTCTCTGTGCAGGACTTCGGGATATGGGAGCGTGGAGACAAGACAAACCAGGGCATCACCGAGTTGAATGCTAGCTCTGTTGGCATGGCCAAGGTGAGCTGGGGAGGGGTGCTGGGAGGCCAAGGAGAAGAGGGTTGTGTGGGGGTGGCAGTGCTGCCACAGCTGTGAATAGCTGGGGGTTTGGATGATCAGTGGCCCCTTGCCACTCAGGGGATGTACAGGGGAGGCTGAACTTGTTTAAGTGTTGGGGCTGAGGGGGCTGAGCACGGAGCCCTGCTGTATAGTGATCAGTTCCTGGGCAGGAAACCCTTTCTCCTGGTGTGCTGGGATAAAACTACGCTCCTCTCACGTGAGCTTTGCTTTTACTGGGAGCAAAGAATGAATTGGGGTGTGCGGCAGGAATACCTGTTCCTATCCAGGGTCCTGTTGGTATATGGCTACCTGTGGCTTCAGAGGTGCGATTTGTCTCTGACCAAGAGAGCTCTGTAGCCTCAGCAGGGTGCAGTGGGTATTTGCATCTGTTTCCCTGTTTAAAGTTGGGCAGCATGTTACGCAGAGGGGCTAGTGTGGGGGTGAGCTCTTACGGAAGAGCAGCACAGTGGAGGACTCACTGCTTTGGGTCTCTTCCTGCTTGCAGGCTGCCCTGGAGGCACTGGATGAGCTGGACCTCTTTGGAGCGAAGGGAGGCCCACAGTCCGTGATACGAGTACTGTCGGATGAGGTGCAGCACTGCCAGGTGAGACCTGGCTGCCTCCCACTCCTCTAGACCTCCAGTAGGCAAGCGCTGCCCGTGTCTGGCTGCTCAGCAGAGCATGAGGTCCCTGGAGCAGATGTGTTTTCAAGGAAGTGCCCTGTGTGGGGCAATCTAGGGTGCCCTGGTACCTCTCCAGGGCTGGCATCAGCCTATTCCATAAATTGTGTCAGTGCCCCAGCAGACCATTGCCTGGGGTGTGGGTGCCAGTCCTCTGCATGTGTTAGCAATGGTCCCATAAGTTTACAGGTGCTATCTCACAGCTCAGCCCTCTGTTCCTTGCCAGCATGTGTACTTTGATTCTTTCATGTGGGTAACGTGCCATCACAGGATTAGCTGTGATCTGGTGGGGTTATGGCGTGAACAAGCCTATCACTGCTGAGCACTCGGTCTCCCAGTGCCAGGCCTGGCAGTCTAAATGACCCTCCTTCCTCTCTGCCCAGTCCATCCTCCATTCAATGCTACCGAGGGCTTCCACGTCCAAGGAGGTGGATGCCAGCGTGCTCTCTGTCATCTCCTACCCGGCGTTTGCTGTGGAGGACAGTGAGCTAGTGGAAATCACCAAGCAAGAGATCATCACAAAGCTGCAGGTGAGCAGCACCCTTATTTCACCCTTCCTGGGAAACAACCACAGAACTACAGCCCACACCCTGTAGTCCTTGCTTGCTTCCCCCAAAACACACGCCAGGAAGGGTTGCCAGGGCCTGTCCCCTCCCAATCTCTGCACCCGTGGCAGAACTGTGCAAGGAAATGCTCCTGAGTGCTGTCTGGCTGTGTGGTCCCGGGCTGTGAACATGGTGGCTGAGTGCTAGGTGCACGAGTGAGGGGGTGCTTGGCCAGAGGAGACCTCGGACAGGGTGAGAGGCTGGTTCTGCTGTGGCGGTGTCCCCCTCTTTTCTCAGGGCAGGCTTCATGCTTCTGCAACGAAGGTACAAAGTATTCCACACTATGCCTGCTGCTCAGTACCTCTCTACCTCCCTTCCAGGGGCGCTATGGCTGCTGCCGTTTTCTCCGTGATGGATACAGGACCCCCAAAGAGGTAACTGCCCACAGCCCTGGCACCTACTAGGACAGGCTTTGAGTGCTGAGTATCGACTGCCCTAGGTTGCGTTTGCAGCCCTTCCAGGTGCAATATAATGGCTGTGGCGGGGAACACTGTGGAGATCAGAGCCCTGAGTAGCTCTGACACCCCTACAGCCCCAGGGAGTGTCAGGGGCCTGTGCCTGAAATGGTGCATCCCACCCATGCCTGCAGCAGACAGCTGAAGGCTGTCTCTGCTCATATCCCGGGACCTGGGGTTGCTGTGTAACTCTCAGGCTTGCAGGGAGATGGGACTTCTACCCGATGCGAGAGCGCTGTGGAGGGTGACCGCGTCTCCCAGGGCGGCACGAAGCCTGAGCAAGGGCCGAAGGCGCATGGAGGGGACTATGCAGCGCTCCTTTCCAACCGTCTCCAGTTTGCAGAATCTGTGAGATCACAGGGGTGCATCTGCCTCTCCAGGATAGCATGTGGCTTGCGTACTGCCACATTTGTCTATGCAGAGCGAGGGGCGACTTGCTACTTTGGAGAGGAAAAACGGGAGCTTTTTATAAGCAACAGGCATTTACTAAGCACAGAATCAGGAAATGGCATTTGGAGGCTCTTTATAGGTCACCAGCTGTTGGGCCCCTTAATCTGATGGGGCTCCTGCGGGTGCTTCCTCTGCCTGGGGCTCTTTTGCATGTAACATCAGCCTCTAAAAGCTTCTCCTCTGCTGCGTCTCTTCAAACGTGACCATAATAGGCATTGTGCATCTCTAGGGCACTCCAGAGCCGGAGAAGAGCAGCAGCATCTCCAGTCTTATTTTCCCCAGCACATGTGAGCTTTGCCAGTGATCCTTCTAAGGAGCTGGTGCCTTTTTGAGGCATGGGAACGGCAGCACTGCTTGCCTACAGGAGCACCACAGCTGCCTGGAGCCAGATGGGAGTTTGGGAGCTCGTCACCAGCGTACAGTCACTACAGAAAACCTCTGCTCCCTGAGTCTTTGTGGGGACTGCTGTCCCCTTGGCCTGGCTATTTGCTAAGGCCAGCTCTGCTCCTTTTTTGCTGCACACAGAGTTAGAACAGTTAGTGGAGGGTCAAGCGTAGGTTGTTAGAGCAGTCTGTGCTGCAAGTATCCGGGAGCGGGAGGATTCAGGGAAGGCACCTCTCCATCCTGACTGTTTCTCTTGCGTCAGTCTCACAGTTAAACAGGACAGGGGAAGGGACCCTGCTCTCTGGCCATGTATGATCAGCAGCAAGCTCTCCTATGGCTGGCTTTCCAGTTGGGGCCAGCCCCGCAATGTCAGAGGCAGGCACTGAGGAGCTGGGGCTGAGCATGCAAGGCGAATGTGATGCGGGTGTCACTGGTGGAGCAGAGGGTGTTGTGCTGTTGTACAGGGCTCTGGGGTGCTCTCCTGGAGACTGCACAGGCTCCTGCTGCCTGGGCAGAGTAAGTTCCTGCAGCATTGGTGCAGGAGGCCCAGGAAGGGATGGCTGATGGAAAGTACATGGCTTGGAGGTGATACTGCTTCTTGACTCTGTTATCAGCTGTCATCCACAGAGGACGACTGTGGTGGCATTTCAGGCTGGTGTCTCTGGGGGAGCAGGAACCCCATCAGTTTGAAGGTACCCTGCAAGGTAGCTGAGCCTGCCTTGCTGCCATGCCCTCTCTGCAGGACCCTAACCGCCTCTACTATGAGCCTGCTGAGCTACAGCTCTTTGAGAACATTGAGTGTGAGTGGCCTCTGTTCTGGACATACTTGATCATCGATGGGATTTTCAGCGGCAACATGGAGCAGGTAACGGAGGCAGCACGTGTCGAGCAGGGGAAGAGATTCCCCAGCAAATGAGAGGCATGAGGGGAAGGATGCATGGAGTCCTGCCTGGAGACTGATTCCCCTGTGATATCTCCACAGGTACAGGAGTACCGGGAAGCCCTTGAGGGGGTCCTCGTCAAGGGGAAGAATGGTGTGCGCCTGCTGCCGGAGCTGTACAGTGTCCCACCAGATAAGGTGAACTGTTCTGGCCTACAGCAGAGGTCACAGGGTGCGAATGTCTCATTACCAGACATTAAGACTTTACCAACTGATTAACTCAAATCAGTAGTCAAACAGTAAATGTTCTACATGGAAACTTCATGTAAAGAGGATGGTTAGGTATGGCTTGGCATCGTTAAAATCATCTTAAATATGTTGGATAAATATATTACTTTTTTCTCCAAAGCATGTCTTGCCCTCCTAGAAGGGGGAGCTTTGGTGACCCAGTCTGCTGTTCTGGAGTCCTGTGAGATCTCAGGACAAGTAAACCTGCACTGAGGGGATCCTACTAAATTCCCATTCAACGTCAGGAGAGTGTTTGTGCTTGCCTGGGCTGAAAGCATTGGTCTCCTGCTCCCTGGGTGGTACAAGAGCAGTGCTCTCTGGGCCAGCATCAGAGAACATTACCTCAATGTTCCTGTAACACGTCAGTCATTCCTGTGAAACGGGCCATGCTGGGAACCCAAAGGTCCAGCATGTTGCCTGAAGAGGGTGCTTGGGGGGATTGCAAAAAGAGTGGAGGAGTGTAGCCAGGATAGTTTCAACCCTCTGGCAAATGCTTTTGTAGGCTCTTGTTTTAGACCTGAAATTACTGGGCTCTAAAATGCAATGATTATGTTTCCTTAACCGTCCTGTGTCTGTGGGATTCCTCCCTGACCTCCTGGCTTGTTTTCCAGGTGGATGAGGAGTACAGGAACCCCCACACTGTGGACAGGATACCTATGGGCAAGCTACCGCTTATGTGGGGCCAGTCCCTCTACATCCTGGGCTGCCTGATGGCTGAGGTATGCTCACCCCTGACACTGGGAAGGACTGTGCAGGCCAGGCTCTGAGACCCAAATGGGCAAAGGCTGCCACCCTGAGCCACCTATTAGGGCATATGGGCAGAGGGAAGTTGTTGGCCTCCCTCCCCCAGGACCTCCTAGAGATGATCGTGTTTGAATTTTCAGTGGGCGTCACCTGTTCTGCTCTGCCCATGAGATGTTCATCTCCTCATGCTTGTTCTTTCCCTAGGGGTTTCTAGCTCCTGGTGAAATCGATCCCCTCAACCGCAGGTTTGCAACCGTCCCCAAACCTGATGTGGTGGTCCAAGGTGAGCGGAACAGACCGGTCCCAAACCCCCTCACGCAGAGCAGATTTGTGTCCAGCCAGACTGGGAGCTCTGCCCATGCCAAATTCATGTAGGTGGCTCTGCTCCCTGCCTGGGAAGCCACAAGTGCAGCCAGATCTTAGCCCCGGCTTGCTAGGGCTCTGCTTTAGCCAGCCCTCTGGCTAACTGCAGGCTTGTTCACAAAGGTGGCTGCATGTGGGCTGCAATTGAAAGGAGACGGATGTATTTAGTGTCCATGAAGTCCTTTGAGATTTGGAGGGTGCAAGGGGGCATAAGATGGTGTGTTAGTCCTTCTTATGGACCCCACGTTGTCCCAGGGACCCATCGCTTGTTTCAATCCCCTCTCCAGAGAGGCTGAAAACTGCTCTGTCCTCTAGCTGCTCAGTGGGGAGGCTTGGGTTTAGTAACTTATTGGAAGAGGGAGCAAGGCAGGCCTTCTCTGTAGCAGGAACTTGTCCCTGAAGGGCTGCTGGACTCCAGACAGCTCCCTCTACGTGATGTGGCACCTTGTGTCCCGAAAGGACTGGGACAGCACTGCCACACCCTTGCGCTCCTGCCTGCTCTGAGCCTGCTCTGCTCACTCCACAGTGTGCATCCTCGCAGAGACAGAGGAGATCAAAGCCATTCTGAGGAAGGAGGGCATCCATGTGGAGACGGTGGCTGATGTGTATCCCATCAGAGTCCAACCTGCCCGCATCCTCAGCCACATCTATGCCCGGTTGGGTAAGCTGGGCAGTGGGCTTCTGAAGCAAAGCGGGTATGGAAGGGTCTGTCCCATCCCCTTGTGCTCCTGCTTATAGATGGCTGATCTCCTGCCCTGTTGCTCCCTGCCTGACTGACCAGGGCTCTGCCGTACATTCCTGGGCCTGGTAATGCTGCTCCTGCTAGAAGGGGAACAGGGTTGGCAGGCAGGGGATTTTGGAGAGGTGAAGCTCTGGCATTGCAGTTTCAGAGTTGCCCCAGAGATAGGCAGAGGCTCTGAGCAGTGACCTTACGGAAAGATCTGGCATGGGCAGGAGCCCGTTCTTGTTCCTGTACCGAAATCGCAATGTTGGGGGTAAGTCAGACCCCAGGAAAGGGTCCCCTGGCAGTCCCTGGCAGAATAGAGTGCGTAGCCCTGTCGGGATGTTGTTGAAAGGGCAGTAAGAGCATGAGAGGATGGATGCGTTGCTAGCTTTCCACGCTTATTCCCTGACAGCACGACTCCTTAGGCACGGAGCTTGTTTTGCAGGAGCTAGAGACCCAGCCTGGGCTGAAGGAGAAACCCAATCTGTGACAGGCTGCAAGCACTGGCTAATTTAAGCCACCAAAAGGCCAAGTGTGACATCGGCAAAGGGGACAGGGGAGCAGGAGGATCTCTGTGCAGAGATGGAGGCGGGTGCTGCCTGGCAGCTGCCAGAGCATCTCTCCATGGGCTTGACGTGGCCAAGGGGCGATGTTGTTGCACTGTCTTGGGCTCTGGGAGCCATCCAGGAGACTGGTGACACTGATACAGGTGTCAGCTTTAGGGTGGCAGGCAGCTTCCCAGTGTCAGACAGCCCTGCGCAGTGAGAGAGTCCCGGGCCCTGCCCCAGTATCTGACATCTGCAAAGACCTGCAAGTGTGGCACGTTGTCGAGGTCAGGACTGGCTCTATGTCCCCGCTCCAGCAAGAGTCTCTGGGGAGGGCTTGGGCTTCTCCAGCCCCCTAGGGGGGGCTGTGGGGCCAGGGCATTACCGTCCCTTAGAGCTATGCCAGCTGGATGCTGGAACTTGGGATAACCCAGCTACAAACCAGGCTTTTCTTGCTGGCAGGTAGCGTAGGGTCCTGTCTAATACGTGCTACTGTGTGCCCTTTTGCAAGGAGGTGTGGGGGAAATGTATTAAAACTTTTCCCCACAGGCCGCAACAAGCAGATGTGCCTCACAGGACGGCCCTTCCGACGCATGGGTGTCCTTGGGACCTCCAAGCTCTATAACATCAGGAAGAACATCTTTACCTTTACCCCACAGGTGGGTGGCCCTGAAGGGCAGACAAGGCTTGTTTCTGGCTGTCACACGATCTGCAACCGGGTTGAGCTCTGCAGAGGTGCTCAGGATGCAGAGCGCTTGCTCCGTTCTGCCAAAGGGTGCTGGGGGGCTGCCACATGGTGCCTCTCCTAAGCTGCCAAGCTGGTACTTGGGAATAGCTGCCATCTCACAGCAGTGCTTGTGGGTGTACCAGGGAAAGGAAGCATTTATTCTGTGCTTCCAGGGGATGGGGCAGTGGAGATGGAGTTGAGTCCTGTTGGCGTGGAGATTTCTCCCCTGAACTACTGGCTGAGCTCTTGAGTTACTGTCTGGGGTGGCCTGATGCTCCCTGAGCAGTCTGAATTCCCAGGAGAATGGAGCAGCCCCAGCTCCGTTGCTGTGCTGCCTGCCTGCTGCTCAAAGCAGCAGAGTTGGTGCCCTTGGCTGTATACGTGCTGGGACGAAATGGTTTTGTTACCTTCTGAGGTTCAGTTCCTTGAGAGGGAGGGGAAAAAATCCTTTTGCTCAGTCTGGCAAGGACACCAGGAGGAAGCTGATGGCAAGACAGGGATTCCTCCGTTTTCTAGGTCCAGCCTAGCATGGTGACAAGGCAGATGTGTGGCTGGCACTGTGGGAAATGCACGTTCTCTTGGGATGGACACAGCACAGACTGGGTGTGTGTGGCCTGGGAGATGCTGGTGCTGACCTGCTGTGCCACATCCTCATAGCTGTTAGCGTTAGTGGCCAGTAGCTGCTCTGGAGCAGGCACGTGTTGAGGTTCCCTTGCTGGACTGTAGTGTCACCTACCAGGTAATGTGGAATGAGCTGTCAGCGCCAATGGGCGTGTTGCACACGGCTGTACTGGTGTGGCTAGCCTGGCTGAGTGCCTATCAGAAAACGTATGCGATAGCAAAAGGGCCTGGTGGCTGTGGAAAGGGCTGCTCATGTCTCCTGCCCTCTTTGCAGTTTATAGACCAGCAGCAGTTCTACCTGGCTCTTGACAACACGATGATTGTGGAGATGCTGCGGACAGACCTCTCGTACCTCTGCAGCCGCTGGAGGATGACCGGGCAGCCAACCATCACCTTCCCCATCTCTCACACCATGCTTGGTACAGATCTTCCGGCCTCATAGGGTGTTTGGCTAAAACAGCCCCAGAAAGTAGCTTCTGTGCAAGAAGGGGGTGGATGGATGTGGGGCCATCTAGGTGACTGGGACATGGCAGGGGTGGACCAGCCAGCAGCATCCTGTAAAGAGCTCACTACTCCAAGGAATTGTGCTGGGATGGCAGCTATCCTGGTAGCTAGCAGGGCTGCCTGCCAAGCATTAGTACTCGCAGCTCAAAGGATGTTCCCTGGCTCAGTGGTGTTTGGTCTCCAAGTCGCTAGGCCTTTTGGGAAGTCTTACGGGAGCAGGGCAGAGATTTTTAGGTCAAGAAAATAATCGCCTTGTGAAAGCGTTCTTGGGGCTGTTCCTGCATCCTGGTTTGACTCTTCACCAAGCCTGTCTATTAAAGGCTTTTCCTAGAGGATAAGGAGGAGAAAATAGCAAACCAGAAGGACCAGAAAGCTCTGCAACGGCTCAGAGCAAAACTGACTTCCCTGGAATAGCTCTCTCCCTTCCCAGCAAGCCCCGTGCAGCGAAGAGACTCCCTTCTGCTTTCAGGCCGTTTCAGTTTTCCTTGTGTACTTGAAATCCGCTTAGGTGTCTTGAACATGCTCTTAACTGTGGGGCCCTCTACTCCTCCTTCTGCCTCCTAGCAGCTCCCCATCTGCTGAAGCATAGAAACCTAGGAAGGGAGTGACGGGCTGTTTGGGTCCTGCTGTGTGATGCTGCAGGCTTCACCTCAGGGTGAAATCTCAGGGCCTTGGAGGGTGTTTTGTCTCGGCTTTGCTGGGAATCCAGCCTAGACAGAGTCCTGAGTTTCCATCTTTGGGTGGTGCTGTTGGTGCCACAGCCTGGCCACGCAACCCAGAGTAAGGCCCATACCGTGGTGCTGTGCGTGTCTGAATGGCGATCTGGCCTGTGCGTTGCTGGGAGCTTGTTTGAGCAAGAGGACCCGATTGCCTGTTTCTCTGTCCCCAACAGATGAAACAGGTAACAGTATCCACCCCAAAGTTCTGGCGATGCTTCGGAAGCTGCAGGACGGGTATTTCGGTGGTGCAAGGTGAGTGCAGCTTCCCGGGGTACAGGAGAGGAGAAGGCTGGTGTCCTCTGAGTTCCTGGTGGGATGGGTGCGAGCTGGGCCTGAGCGCTGGAGCTGAGCAGCAGTTGTTTCGGGGCAAGTTGTGGAGGTGGGGCAGGATGTGTCGGTCTCCACTGTGCCGTGGGTGCACCCTGGCTACAGTCCTAACAGAGGAGGTGCAAAAGGGGAGGTATCTCTTCGTGCCGTTCAATCCATGGCTGTAGGACTCCCCTTCCCCTTTGGGCACCCGTTTCAGTCCCTCACATCTTGTGCTCTCCGATACCTACTTCTGGCTAGGGAAGCTGCAAACAGCTGGAGCAGGCACTGGGATATTTGTGTGTACTCCCTGGCAAGTGTGTATATCCCTGCTGAAGAGGCCTGCCCTGAATCTAGGAGGTAAGCCCAAAGGTGCACTGCCTCCCCATTCTTCTCTCCGTGACTTCCCCTCCTCTCGCCCAGGATCCAGACGGGTAAGTTGTCTGAGTTCCTGACAACGTCATGCCGAACACACCTCAGCTTCATGGACCCCGGGCCGGAGGGTAAGGTCTTTGCCAACGATTACGAGCTCAGCATTGACAGCTTTGAGGAGCTAGACCCTGAGGAATGGCTGCATGGCTTGCAGTTAGCAGATGATGGTAAGGGGGAACAGATCAGTTGCTTCTGTGACCTGGAAAATGCTAAACTCACCAGTAAACCCCTAACTCCAGGCCTCCCTGCCAGGGCCTGCCTCCATGTTCTTAATACACTTGGGTTTCCATCATGTGTTTGTTTTCATCTGACCCTCCATCAATTAACCTCATCTGTGTGATATTTACAGTGACATTAGCAGGGCGGAGGGGCTGAGTGATTTGATGTGGCTGTTGTAGCCCCCTTGCCAGAGGCATTACCCAGCCAGATGTTGCTGAGCACAGCCAATGTTCTTGAATGAGCCTCCCAAGCCTTTTAGGCTGTTGTATAGGGAGAAGAGGAGGCCTCAGCGTGCAGGATCTGCTTTGGGGGTTTGCCTCAAGTTTTTTGGTGCGGTCACTACAAGTGTAGCACAGAAAGTGATGTCAGCACAGAAGACACAGAAAGTGCCTGAAATGGCAGAGAAGAGCCAACAGGTTCCTTGCCTCTGAACAGTCTCTGGATGTTGTTTTCAGAAGGCCTTTAGCCTTTCCTGGGCAGAGATGTTGGGTAGCTGCTCCATTGTGTATGCTGAATCAAGGCCAGTGGGCTGTCACGGACAGACTGCCTGCTGGGGACCTGGCCTGTACCTGTGTCGTGGTAGGCTGCTCTTGCCCTGAGACCATGGAGAGGTGCAGATTATGCTGTGACCCTTGTAAGCAGGCCTAGATGCATTCTACTCCTGTGTGAGTTGATGATGATCCTCTTCCTAGCCTTCCCATCCATCTGCTCTGCCCAGCTCCTTCAATGCACCTGTAGCCAGCCTTTCTACTACTGAGACTCTGAATATTGGGCTTACTTTTCTTGCGTGACTGTCCTCCTCTCACTGTGTCTACGTTCTTGGGCTATGCCGCAGCCTCTAGGCCTTTTGCGGGCCACGGCCAGACTTGTCCAAGGTGTCTGCATCTCCAGCTTCAATGGGAGACAGGGCCAGCGTGCCCACCTTTAGCTGCTGCGGAGAGGCAAAAGATGCTCAATGTTAAGTTCTTCCTGTGGTCTGATCCTCCATCCAGACAGCCAAATGGGAGGATGCTCAGTGTCTGGGGAACTTCTCCAGCATGTCAGCCTCAGCAAAGTCCCCTGCACAGTATGCCTGAGTGGCTGCTCTGCCCGACAGAGCCTCCAAGCTTTGGCACAGAGCATCCCCACCAGATACAGAAGAGGGATGCTGCGCTATGTTGGCCTCGCAGACCATCCAGAGTTCGCCTGCTGGAGTGTAAGTGCTGCAGAGCTTGTCTGCTATCTGAAGAGGCAACGCCAAGTCTGCACAGAAGGCTGGAATATATCCTGTGTCCTAGTATGGCTGTGCCCTGACTCTCTGAACCAGGCATCCCAGGTCCCTGGAGCAGGGCAGCCGTGAACCACACAGCGTTCAGGGAAATCTTGCAACAAGACTGGCATGCCCCCGGCCCGCTGGCTGGAAGCATACACTAACAGCTCACCTCTGTGTTGCATTGCCTGACAGCTCGTGTGCTCATATCAGCCTGTGCAGGGGCATCTCCTGCCCTGGGCCATGCCCTTTGCTGTTGTGCAGTACTGTCTGTGATCTCCTGGATGAGTGGAGATGTGGCTTGATGATGATCACCATCTTCCATGCTGCATGTCGTGGCTCTGGGCACTCCTGTTCCACCTGGATGTTGAGACCGATGGGAGCTGTTAGAGGCAGAGCAGAGAGCAAGACAGGAGCCAGTGGCTAGTGAAGGAGAACAGGCTTCCCTCCTGTGAGGTGGTGGTGTCTAATTGCTGTTAATTTCTAATTAGAAATAACTGCTGCCAAACCCACCCTGTTTTGCTCCTATGCTTGGATGGGGCCCCTTCTGTGCTAGCGTGGTCTCTTCCCAGGTGGTCCTCCCAGGTGGTCTCCTCTTGGATAGGCTCTCCTCAGCAGCATGCCTTCCTGTTCATCCCTGGAGGGACTGAGTGCAAGGATTTCACTGGGGAGTTCAAGCAAACGCTGATGTCTTTGTGCAGGCTGGAGCACTGCACAAAGCAGTTTCCCTGAGGGGCAGGGACCTGATGGCACTGCTGGAGATGCAGTGCTGAGTCAACCCTTCAGTCCCCAGCTGGAGCCCAGACAGTTAGCTTAGATGACACCTGTTTTTCAGCTGGGTAATTTCCCTGGTCCAAGTCTAAAGGCAGTGTCTCCAGGCAGGACTCAGAGGGAGCCAAGCTTGGCTGGAGCTGGTACCTGGTGTCCCAGGAAGCAAAGGCAGCGTAGGAACAGGAGTGTCACAGCTGCTGTGCTTCATGAGTCCTGCTCCCCTCCCTCTGCCCGTTCGGCTGCTGGTGCTAGCCCTGTGCTGTTGCTGTGTGCAGCAAGCAGAGCTTTGCCCGTGCTGAGGAGCTCTGCCCTAGATCTGGGGGAAGGACGCCAAGGTGCAGAGTGACTTAAGGCCTCTCTTCTGCCCGCCTGACACTTTTGATGAAGTTGCTCAGTACTTAGATCACCTGCTGCAGCGCACGGCTCCCCGGTCCAGCCTCCCTCCCACTGCCCAGCAGGGAGGGCTGAATCGTTTCCGAGCTGCTGTACACACCACTCGTGACCTCATGTCCCTGGTGTCTAAGGCTAAAGACCTTCACGTCCAGAGTGAGTAACAGCCCCCTCCATCCTTCCGGGCTCTGTGTGCTTGGCACCCTCCAGACCTGAGTCCAAGCCAGGCCCTCGTGCTGTGAGAGGCTGAAGTGCCTCTGAGAGCTTTCCTAGGAATCTAGGACCCAGTGCAACCCTCTGGGAGCTGTGGGGATGTGCTGCTGGCTTTGATGGTGATGGGCTCTTACGTGTGGTGCACAGCAAAGGTGGCTGGGCAGGCTTGGAGCAGCAGGGGGGACCAAGATGTTTCTCATGCTTCATCTCCCATAGCTGTATCAGTCTGTCACTTGGGCTGTTTCTGGCACAAGGCAGCATTGCAAAGCAGCCCAGCCCAGGGTCTCATGGGTCGCACGCCTCTGTGCTAGCATCCAGGGTCTAGCATGTTTGCGTTGCCCTCCATGCTATCCTGGGACAGGGCGCGTTCTGTCTCGATAGGTGTTGTGCTGCTAACGCAGGCAGCTGCTTGCTGGGGTATCCCTTGTAGTCAGACCCCGTCCTGCCTGTGTTCCTCGTTCCATCTGTTCACGCGCTGTCAGGAGGGCCTGCTAGCACTGCACCATGGAGCGTGCCAGCAGCCACCATGTCATAGCCCTGAGGAACTGGAGTTTTGTGGGGCTAATGTGGTTGTGGAACCCTCTCTGCCCCAGCCCAGGCCATTTCTGGGACCCAACTGGTCCCTCAGGCTGTGAGTGCCTCCAGCTTGTTCTGCCTGGGTCTGTGCAGACTTGGGAGCTTCCCTGGCTCTAGTTCCAGGCAATTGCCAAAGACTAGGTGTGGTGAATTGGCCCAGGCTGTGCTGGCTGTCTGCTTGGGCACCAGGAAATGGGCACAAAACCTTGTGGCATAGGCAGCTGCACCTCTGTTGGCAGATGACAGTCCTGCAAGAATGCGGGGCTGCTGCGAGCTGTGTGAGACCGCTCAGCAGGGCTGTATCCATCTTCCCTGAGCATGCCTCGGTTCTTTTCCCAGCATGGCTACATCTGCAGCGGGCAGAAAGCCACCACTGAAAACAGCAGACTAGTGTTTTGGTGAAAATTTAAGTCTGCTCAAAGGGCAGACTATTAACCTCTTAGGCTCATGCCACAGAGAAAGAAGCTATAGGACTGTCTGGAGACTGCAGAGCAGCCCAGCCTTTGCCTGAGGAAAAAACACTTTAAAGGTCATGTTAGCTCTGGCCACGGGTGTCTCAGAGCTGGTGCCTGCCCAGTGCTCGTGGAAACTCCTGAGCAGCAATGGATCATGACCTGCCAGCTCCCCATGCCATTCATCTATGGCTTTGTGGACAGGGGCTGGTTCTCCCGCTGCTGACCCCTCCACAGGGGTTTCTCAGGAAGCAGAGTGTTAGACCTCCTCTGTGCTGCTTTGTCACGTGGTGACAGGAGTTGCTATTGAGAGGTTCCACGCCAACTCTAGGTTTCTTTCAGATGTTGGGATGTACATCCCCAGCAAGATCTTCCAGGCATCCCAGCAGTCTGTCAACTTGCTGAGCTCTCCTCCCCAACATGACCTGGATGGCAAGGTAAGCATGTCCCGTCTCTGCGTGGGAGGGCAAGTCCTGCACAGGGCCTGGCTAAGGAGTGCCGTCCCTTTTTCTGGAGCAGGAGGATCCTTGTGGGGCTGCCTGGGACAAGCCTGACGTTTCAGGGGAGGAGGATGTCTATGGGCGAGCGGCCTTGGCTCTGCAACCTGACTGCACTCCAAGTGCAGGGTGCTGGGAGTGCTAACCAGGACCATGGTTCTCCTTTCCCTCAGAGCTACATGCTCCATGCAGAGATGAACCTACCCAGAGATGAGGCTGGCAACGTGGACTGCAAGGCGCTGGTCGACCAGCTACGCATCTGCCCCACGCTGCAGGAGCAAGCAGACATCCTCTACATGCTCCACATCCTCAAGTATGAGCGCTGAGTCCCACTGCTCTGTCCCTTGCATTGCCACCTGTATCTTGATCACACTTCTCTGGGCAGCATATCTGCTAAGGGGAGCACAGTTCCCCCACTCCAGCCCTTGGACCTGGGCTTGAGCAGCCAGCAGTCAGCCTTGGGCTTACAGTCCATCCTGCGGCTCAAAGCAGATCGGCTCACCCTAAATGGCTCATGGCAGGTCTGCTCCCACCTCTCTCCACAGCAATGTGTGGCCACGTAACCCAGAGCCCGTTCACTGAGCGGAGCCCCCCTTGAGAACCAAGGCTGCCAAGCACATGTTGTGGCCTCTAGTGCCCATGCGCTGCTGGGAGCTGCCCTGGGGTGAATTGCTGGCTATAACCTGACATCTCCTTTATCGTAGGGGGCCCAATTGGCACACTGGGCTTGAGAGCCAACCTGGGCCCACCGTCAAGGAGCTCCTCACTGAGCTGTATGTGCGGGTGGGGGCCACACGCCAGTGGGCCCTGATCCGTTACATCTCCAGCATCCTCAAGAAGAAGGTGGAAGCTCTGGACGAGGTAAAGCCCTGCTGCCAAGCTCCAGGGAGTAGGGGTGAGATCCACGGGGGAGGACGCAGCAAAGAGGGCAGGTGAACATTGGCTACACCAGCTCATAGGATGTTTCCCAGACTGGCTCATGCCAAGGCCCCAGAATTTGTGCAGTGTGTGTCTGTTCCTGGAGGGGTAATGTCTGAGGTGACCCTTTCTCTCCCCAGGCCTGCACTGACCTCTTGTCTCACCAGAAGCATTTGACTGTGGGGTTACCCCCAGAGCCACGTGAGAAGACCATCTCTGCGTGAGTGTGGCACCTTTCCCTCCTCACGTATGCTGGGCTGGGGCCAGATGTGAGCCTCTTGCTCGGTCTGTTCTGGGATCCTTGGGCACAGGTGGTTCTGGATAGCTGCCTGCAGCCTGTAACCTTCCTGTCTCGGCTGTGTGGCACGAGCATCCCAGTATCGCAGGGATGGGGTGCTCTGTCCCTCAGCTGAACAGACCAGGAGAAACATGGGTCTCACTCTGCTCCTGAGACTGCAGTTCTTTACCTGTCCTGTCATCACATCCCTAGCCCAATTCCCTATGAGGAGCTTGTTCGTCTCATTGACGAAGCTAGCGAGAAGAACCTCAGTGTCTCCATCCTGACCCAGGTGAGGGGGCTGGGCAGCAGGGAAGCCCTGCTGCTGGGGCTGGAGGCTGGCTCTCGGCTCTGGCGAGCAGCTGTGGGGTGACCTGCTCTTTCCCCTCTAGGAGATAATGGTGTACTTGGCCATGTACATGCGCACCCAGCCCTCCCTCTTCGCTGAGATGTTCCGCATCCGCATTGGGCTCATTATCCAGGTGATGGCGACGGAGCTGGCACACTCGCTGCGCTGTTCAGGTACGTGTGGTGAGACTGGTACCCTGGCTGGGTAAGGATGTTTCTACCACAGCGCTTGGGGCTCTGTCAGCCAGGGAAGAGAATTGCCGTTAAAAATAGTCAGCTCTCAGCAGCAGGCCAGGACCTTGCATGAAAGTGCCAGGGTCTTCAGCTGAGACTGTTCTCTGGCAGCACAGGCAGGCAATTTGACTGCTGCGTCTGTTCAGGCGTACTGAGATGGCATGAGAAAGAGTTCCTATTATAGGCAACACCTGGAGTTAATGTGTGTCTTTGGAGGATGAGTTCCTGTACCCACTAGTGCTTCCTCTGCTAACAAACATGCTAACAGGCTAGCATGTAGGCTGGAAGTCTCCCAGCAGAGCTGTGGAGGGGGAACAGTATCCCAACTCTCTGTTCTCTCTAGCTGGAGAAGCCACCGAGAACCTGATGAATCTCAGTCCATCGGATGTGAAGATTCTTCTCTTCCACATTCTCTCTGGAAAGGAGTTTGGGGTGGAAAAGAGCGGTGAGTCTTTCCACAGGGCTTTGGGAGCATTTCTGGACAAAATTGAACCCTGGTGAGGAGCATGGCCGGCTCCAGGCTTTCCCACCTGTGGAAGCCTGTGATGGGGTATACCCCTGTCCTCCTGCACGTTCAGCACATAGCCTTGATCAGCTTGTTCTGCACTGTAGTGGTCCAGCAAGAAGCCATGCTCTTCAGTGGGGTGGTGCTGAGCAGCTTTCCTGGGATTGAGTCTGTGTCCTGTGGGCCTGGCTGTCAAGGCTTTCCTTAGCTCAGCACTTTAGTCTGAGACAGGCCTGAATCAAGGCAGCTCTGTGCTCATGGGTCCCTTCGTGGTGCCAGTTGGGATGGAGGGCAAGGCTAGGTGCAGGCCTTAGCACGAGGCCTGAAGGTACCAGCACCCAGGCAGCAATGAGAGACATCCTCTGAGCCGTGGCATTGACTTCCAACCTCTCCTTTCCTTCAGTGCGGTCAGTCGACTCATCGATCACCACCGCTATTTCCATCTGCGAGGTGGGGGCTGTTGGGGCCACCAAGCCCGAGCGTGCCGGCATCGTCAAGCTGAAAAGTGAGATCAAACAGGTAAGGGCAGGTGGTGCCAGCTGCTGCCTTGGAGATGTGTGGGAGACAAGCTGCTCTAGGACAGACGAGGTTGATGAGAGGGCAGGAGGGAGTCAGGTCCTGAGCTTTAGAGAGCTTACAGTTACCTCAAGGACCTCCTTCCAGCTCCAGCCCTGCATCAGGGAGGCTGAGGGCTAAATCTGGTAGGGGGAGGGGGTTGTTCTGGCAGTGCAGTAAGAGGGGAGCACAGGGTACTTGAGAAAGTGCAGGGCTGGGAAGGACCTCGCAGTATCCTAGGCATGGCTGGTATCCTGGTGGGCCTCTTCCAGCAGCAGAAACTTCATTTCCTTCTTCTCTTGCAGCAACTGGATAAACGTAGGCAGTCTCTGCCTGGGAATAAGGTGAACCCACCCTGATCCCCCCTACAGCCTCAGCTTTTATCCCTAACCCCACACACCAGGGCAGCTTCCACGCACGTGTGAGCTAACGAGCTTTCCTAAACCACCCCGCTGAGCGAGCTGCTGCAGCAGTGAGCTGGCTTCCCCTCTTGGCAGGCTCTGGGCTCAGAGTTGCTCTGTCCAGCACTGGGGAAGGAGGCTGGCTTCCTGGGAAGACACCAGTGTGGCTAAACATGCTGGGGAAGCGTGGGGCCAGCACCACCCCTTTTGGGGAGTTCCCCTTTCAGAATGGCACCTGTCATGTTTGGGCCGGATGGGAGCTGTGCTCTATAGCTGCTACAGTTGGACATTAACACCCACAAAAAATGTGCTGAGCAGGATGGCGTGATGTCCCCAGCGCCATGACCAACTGTGGCCCTGCTCAGAGCTTCACTGTCAAACATATTCCCTTTGGAGTCTGCCTGTAGCCTCCCTAGGCTGTTTCCTTGCAGGGGAAAAAGGCTTGTGCCCAGCTACAGATGATGAGGGACCACCTCGGGCGCTTGCCTGGCCTACGTCCAGGAGGGATCCTGAGGCCTGTGAGGCGAGGGGGCTTCTCCTCATAGCGACAAGGCCTGTGGGGACCGTCAAGCCTCACTGTATGGTCAACCTACTGTAGTGTGGAGCCCAGCATCGCAAAGAAACTGCACATGGCAAGAAAGATCAACTGTGTGCAGCAACCTGCTGCAGGCCCTCAAAACTGGCTAAAACTAAGTCCTCTTTGCCCGTGCTAGCTGCCAACAGAGCAGTAGCAGCCCTGCTGCTGTCCGCTGGGCAGCAGGAGCGTGCTGCCGCTACGGCACTGGCACGTGGGGGCCCTGAAGCTGCTCCTTGCCCTGGTGCGTTCCTTCCCCTCTGACACTAATGTGAGACTTTCTGCAGCTCAACTTTCAGAACTGCCTCTCAGTCTCCAGCTAACCCCAACCCCTGGGATAACCGCCCCATGATCTGAGCTTGATCTGTGCTGCTGCTGCTGCTCTGCTCGCCACAGTACCCGCTCTGCACTGTCAAGGTTTGATTTCTCTCTCTCGCTTTCTCCTTTAGACCATCAGTGTGCAGTTCGGGGAGGCAGAGCTGAAGTCCTCTCTGGTAAAGTGCATTTGTTGGCTACGTGTGTGGTGTCTGTCCTGTTTGTGGCTGCAGAAGGCAGCTGTGCTCAGAGGAGGGGTGTTGCCCTCTGTGCTGCCTGGGAGGTCTGGGAGGAAAGAGCGCTCGCTGTCACAGGGAGCCACAGACTGCAAGGCCAGTGCTAGCAGTGGAGAGTTGGCCCTAGAGCATGGCCTGATGTCCCTGTGTGGGTATGTTGAGGGGGCTCTAGCTGCCCTCGCAGTGACAAACAGCAGTGCAGTGTGCTCACGGTCTGCACAGAGCTCCTGGGGATCCGGTCTTTGAGTCAGGTGCTGGCTCCTGTCCACAACAGATGCTGTTTGTTAGCCTCTTGTCCAAGCAGTGGCCCAGCCCGCTCCTTCGTGCATAGCTAGCAGGAATAAAGCAAGGGTTGAGGAGGGCAGGGGAACAGACCAGTGTGTCTGCTTGGGGCAAGAGTCAGTGCTTCTTTGCCCTGGGCAAGCACAAGCCCTCAGGCAGCTGCGGGATGCACTCTTGTCGGGTGTTTAACTCTGCAGTGCTCTCTGTGGTCCTTGTTTTGTCCACCCAGTCTACTGGGCGCTCGGAGCTGATGGGCAAGGACTCTGTCACAAGCTCACTGAAAGACCAGGGTGCTAAGGACAGCCGCCAGGGCCAGTGGCAGCGGAGACGGCGGCTGGATGGGGCCCTCAACCGTGTCCCTGTGGGCTTCTACCAGAAGGTCTGGAAGGTACTGCAGAAGGTGAGATGGAAGTCTGGCTGGCTCCTCTCCATGCATGTGAGCCTGTGGTCCCAGGCAATGGCCTTCATAAGGTGATTTGGGCACCTAGGGGTGGTTGCTGAGGTTGCGTAGATGCATGCTTTATGGCCGAGGCCTGCTGCTGGCCCTGGAAAGCTGGAGAAAAACTGGATGGCTCTCCAGCTGGAGCTGCCTTGGAGGCATGCAGGACCTACTTCATGCTATGCTGACCCTTGCAAATGGGGCAAGGTCTGCTCAGGTACTTCACACATTAGCGAGGCAGGGCCGGGAGCAGAACTGTAAGCTGTTGGAGCCCAGCACTGGAGACACGACTGAAGCAGCTCAAGGGTGCTGCCTGACCACTGTAAGCCAGGGAGCAGAGCCCTATGCTCTGTGTGGAAGGACTCCAGCCAACACCTCTGGAGCACAGCCGATGGGAAAAAGAATGCAATGCTGATCTGACTGCTGTAAGGGAAGTTATCAGGTGTAGCTGGAGTGTGCGGGCAGCACACGCAGCTATTCGGATGGGAACGAGTGGGTGCACTGAACCTGCACATCTCAGCACGATGCTTCTCAGGTCTGTAACCGTGGTCCCTGTGGTCTTTTTCTGCAGTGCCATGGCCTCTCCGTGGAGGGCTTTGTTCTCCCCTCTTCAACAACCAGAGAGGTAAGAGGTTTACGTGGGGGAAACGGGGTGGGTGGGTGGACACTGGCTGCGGGGCTGCACTGGGCCATCATGGCTTGTGCTGGCGATACTGCGCTCTAGGCACGTTTCTTTCCTCTCCCTCCTTGCAGATGACCCCAGGGGAAATGAAGTTTGCAGTGCATGTGGAGTCAGTTCTCAACCGCGTGCCCCAGCCGGAGTACAGGCAGCTGCTTGTGGAAGCTATCTTAGTGCTCACCATGTTGGTGGACACGGAGGTCCACACTATTGGTGGCATCATTGCTGTGGAAAAGATCTTGCACATTGCCAACGACCTGTTCTATGAGGAGCAGGTACGTGGCCGGTCCTTATATGGAGTGGATGCAGCCTGCACCCTGGGCAGCTGGCTGTGTTTCTGAAAGCTATGCAAGGTTCACCCAGCTGGAGAGTCCAGTCTGCTCCTCCCGCTTGTGTTTGTGGGGCACAGCAAAGATATAATGCCCTCCTCCCACTGCTGCCATCAATGCGTCACTCTGCAGGTGCAACAGAAGATACTTGGGGGACTGGTGGAGGCTGGCAGGAGTCCGGCCCCTGTTCCTAATACTACCTCTCTCCTTTCATGTCCAAAATCCAGAAGGCCCTGGGTGCTGATGATCACATGCTGGAGAAGGATCCCACCACCGGCATTTGCAGCCTCCTGTATGACAGTGCACCCAGCGGTAGGTTCGGCACCATGACCTACCTGTCCAAATCAGTGGTGATGTACTTGTACGACTTCCTGCCCAGCGAAGGTTGCTCCATGCAGTAGTTCTTGGAGCTCCTCTCCCCAGTTTGCAGACTGCTTGTGAGGGTTGTTTCATACAGCTTTTAAAGTCAGGCCTTAGGCTAGTTTGCAAGCAGCCTGCATAGTTCTCTCTCCTCTGAGCCCTGACCTTGCTGCTGCTCTCAGTGGGAGAGTGGCTCTCCAGAGGGGCTCTGCAGGAGGTGTGTGTGTCCACACTGATCTGTGTCAGTGTACAGACTGCAGAGCAGGGGCTGGCCCAGAAAGGCTGGACTTCAAAGTCTGTTTGTGTTAGGACTGTCTGTTTGCATGGATTCTTGGGCTGTCACTCCCTGGGCAGGGTGGTGTTCAAAGGAGACTGCGAGAGGACACCCCCGACCTGGTGCGTGCGCTCTGCACTGCTGCATTCCCTGTCCACCTGATGGTCCCTCCACCTCCAGCAGATTTGAGGGTGTTTTACCTGTTTTGTGCTGCTTTTTGCTCCAAACTTGCAGGGTTTAAAATAAGCCCTTGCTTCTCTGCTGCTGGTGGAAAGTTTGTGTTGGGGGAATAGGGAATGCCCCTTGAGCCTCTCTCCCAGCACTGCCACGTTCCCTAATCGGAACAGTCCAGCCCAGGCACAGCCACGGTTGGGAGCAGACAGACCAACGTGCCTTCTTCCAGCGTCCTGTGCACTGAGCTGGGGAGGCTTTGAGAGCCAGGCGCACTTGAGGGTGGTGATATCCCTGTGTTTGCTTAGAGCTGCAAGGACAGGGCTCCTGGTTGGCCGGCTGTGGCAGCGCTTCGGTGCTCTGTGGTGTCTGTCTACTACCCGCCGTCCCTGCCTGTGTTGCTAATGCATAAATCACAGGCTCTTGAATTTCAACTTGCCCTGTGGAGCAGCTCTAAACGGACTCTTGGTTTGGTGTTAGCTGCACACACCAGCTGGCACGTGATGGGCTTCATCCTCAGTTCTTGCCTCTGCTCCCAGCCTCAGCTCTCACAGCCTAGGACAGGAGGGTGACAGTGGCTTGAGTGGATGAGTGCCCTGCTCCCTCTCATGGGTGCTCACAGCTTGCAACCCACATAAGGTATTGCTGCTAGACTGATGGAGGTCAGGCACACCGTGGATTGCCATATGAGCTCCTCGCTGCACCCCTAGCACGCTGGCTAGTGGGGAAAGTGAGTTGCATGTGTGTTGTCTGATCTCTAGCTTTATTTGGCCTTAGAGCTGGGCTGAGAGTATTTCTTGGGTTGCTTTCAGGAGAGTTTCCTGACTGTAGCAGTTACTCTGTTATCAGTGGGCACTCATCCATCCTCCAAAGTCATGTTCTTGAACTGCCCTTTCTACCAAGGGTTACAATTGATGCAGCACCTCTCGCCCCACTGGGCATTTGAGGTGATGCTGGCAACCCCAGGAAGAGTGAAGTGAAAGAGGGGCACTCGGGGGAGTAGCTGAAGTGCTAGAGTGCTTTTCCTCCTACTGGCTTCATCCACATGCGATAACCCTTGCCATGGGTCTGAGACAGGGAGAGGACGAGGCCAGAAGAGACCTTAGGCCGTTGCCCGATTGCTCTCCTTGTCTTGAGAAAATTGGGAACTAAGATTAGAGCTACCCGGGCTCTTTCACAAGCCTGGGGCAGGGCGTGTGGTGCTTTAGAAAGCGCTGCTCGCTCGCTCTCTATCGCCGGACGACAGGGTCCTGCTCAAAACACAGAGCGTCCGTATGCGTGGGTTGTTCTGGCTGCTCCAGGGTGGCCGCAGTCAAAGGAAAAGGGGGAACTGCGTGTCTGCGGCCACACGTGTGCGCTCTTGCATGCTGTCAGAGGATTTTTTTAATACCTTGTGGACAAGTGCTAAATATTTCTACTTCTTGGGGGGAGGGAGGGAGGAACCGCCTCAGCGGAGGCGACCTCGGCCGCCA